TACATGCCCGATACAGATACTCACCACACGTCCTGCTCTGTCTACGACACGTATGTGCCGTGTATATTCTCGTGCACATGTCGCTGGTACGCGCCGCTGCTCCCTCCCCTCACCAAGGGGGTCCACAAAAGAAGGGGGGGGGGGGGGGGGGGGGGGGTGTGTGGCGTGCGTGGGACTTCGAAAAGTGAAATCAGAGACGGGCAGAAAATAGGACCCTTACCTGGTCAGGTCTTTGTAGGCCTAGAACACACGCGCCAAAAGATCGCCTGTCAGTCAATGTGTTCCAACTGCCAGGCCCCTGCACAAACCCCTCTCTTGCCCCCCCTCCCTCCCCTGGGCTCCTGTCAACGCCCAAAACGTGGAGGAAATGGGGTTGACAGAGGAGCGAGTGTAACAGAGATTGGAGAGCGAGACGGAGACGAACCGAGAGGAAGCGAAAGAGCATAGAGGGAGGGAGGGGGGGAGAGAGAGAGAGAGAGAAGGGGAAGGGTGTTTCCAGCGCGAAGGGAAAAAAATCGGTACGTACCTGGGCAATGTCACCGGCGCCAGCACCGGCACCACGCTGTCCCTCTGCATTTCCATTTCCATTTCCATTTCCATTCTCATTCTCACGTCCATGTCTACCGTTTGTCGTGCTGTCGCCAGCAACGGTGGCTGCTGCTGTCGGGGAGGCGGACAGTGTTCCAGACTGCGGGGCGTCCGAGCCTTCGTCCTGATGGGACCTCGCGGGCGCCATGGCCTGATCGTATGGAAAGGAAATCGAGTTTGTCCGGGTTTTGACTAGCACAAGTTTTTGGCTTTGTCTGAGCGAAATAGTTGTCTCCTTGTTTTCTTCTCGCTCGGGGCAACGTTGACCAAGAAGAAAGACACGGCAGTCGACACCTCTGGCTTCAACGAGGTAATGAAATAAGAGGGGGGTCTCTAGTGTGATCCAAAGGGAGGTGGCGCGGCCGTGGGATGACAGGCGGGCGGGTAGGCGGGAATGAGGGTGCGACGTGACGAGTATGAGTGGGAGGGGGCTCCTTGTTGCTGATAGTGATGATGGTTGGGTGTGTGTACTATGTACACGTAGGTAGTGATGTGTTGTCTTGATGATTGCCGAGATGCTTGCAAAGTGAATAATTGTGCTGGGCTAGTAATTGGTAGGGCCGGGGGGGCGGGCGGGTGCTGAGTGGCAGGTGGTGTGTGATGGGTGACGGTTCGATGGATAGGCCGTTTGAGGGGGAGGGGGGGCTTTGGGATGCGAATCTTGGGCATGGCAATTTATTAGTCACGTAGAAGCGACGACCTGGGTCGCTGACAGGTGGGCAGACAAAACAAAGACGGGCAAGTAAGACAGGCAAGAGGCAGGCAGGCTCCCACGGAAGCCAGGCCCCCCGCTTGTCGTACGTCTTTTGGGATGTTCAAAGGGTTCCAGAGATGAGCAGGTGGAACCACCACGACTCGCCGACGATGAGTCGACAGGTTCAGTCGGTCGCCGGCAAGATCACATTCGTGTGCAATTGCAGTGCCCATCGGACCGAAGATGGGGCAACCCGCCTTGAGAGCGACAATTTGTTCAGGGAGAGCGGGAAATGCGCAGTTTCCCATTGTCAGAGAAGGGGGATTTCTCAACTTTGTGCACCTTCTTCAAGGACCCAATTTTGGAGCATGTCCCATGTTCCAGATCCTCGCAATTGCCGCCCCTAACCGGTGCTGTGTAGTGTTAGGATGGTGCCGAGACGGTGTTTGTCATCTGCGCTTCGATCGTCTAGTTGGTTAGGATGATGCATTGTGGTTCTTACTACAATACTGCATTGACGGCAGTTCGAATCCGCCTCGGAGCAGACCTTTTTGTCGTTTGCCGCTCCAAACGACATACTTTTTGCTTCACCGTGTTTCTGCTGCTGCCGCCGCCGCCACTATTTATCACTTGCCGTCCGTTCGAAACAAATACCATGCCAGGCAACGGCAGAGTGGCATGTCCACCTGACTGCCCATGACACCATGTCGAACAGCTAGTATCCTATCACAGCACCAGGCCACATATTGACGTACTGGCTTACACCTTTGTCCGCGTGCCGCGTCGTCGTGGGGGCTGCTTCTGCCCCTGCATCGACGGTCGTGGTGATATCAAGTGTCAGTCCGTCTCGACATGAGCCATCTCGGCGCTAGGCTGCCGCACCTGACAGATGACATTCTTCTGCCGTGGCGCGTCCACTTTTAGACAAGGTTGTTCGAAGCAGGCCGAAGAGGTCTCATACATCGGCTAGTCAAGAGACGGCATCTACACCGGAGCCGCCTCCGTGGCTCGTTTCGCGAGGGAGGTCACTGTCACTGGCGTGGAAAATAAAGCAAGTTTCGGCGGGGACAGGCAAGCGAGGCCAGACCTGGCCGGGAAAGAAAGGAACAGAGAGAGGGAGAGAGAGAGAGAGAGAGAGAGAGAGAGAGAGAGAGAGAGAGAGAGAAAAGAAGAAAATGGCAAGGCAGAGGAAAGGAAAACTGGCATTGCGGAACACGCGAGGCCATCGTCATTCAACAAGACTCTCTCACCCCCTCGACCTCGACATGGAATGAACTCCGACTATCCAATGACAAGTAGTCCAGGCACCTTGCTTGCATCTTGAAAACGCAAGCGAATATGGCTCCTTGGTGGTTTCCCTTGATCAGGGACGCCTGGGGGGGGGAGGGGCCTTGCAACATGGCAGATGTGTAAAAGCGGCAACATCGAACGGGGGTTTAATGAAGGAAGGGCTTTATTAGAGAGAGCAACAGCAGAAGGGGGGGGGGGGGAGGGGCCTTCCACCACCACGAGGCGGGCCCCCGAACGGGCAGGGCAAATTCAAAGACCTCTAACGTAACCCCCGGGCAGGTAATCCCCACCCATCTTGGCCCCAAAGGCAGAGTTGGGCTCCCGCTGCCCCTGCGCCCTCGATGGCGCGCCAGTTGTCAGATGCTGATCCATCTCCGCCCCGGCCGAAATCGTACCCTCCACGGCGGGATCGAGAAACGTCGACTTCGATGCCACAAGGTCCCGGACGGAATCTAATGATATCAGACGGTGTGGCATTCACGCCCCCGGACTCAGGACCAACCACCCCCTCCGACCGACGGCCGTCGAACGCCCACCCACGGCTCGCCCTTTTGCCCTTACCTGTTGTCCCGCACGCACGTTCTGTTCTCCTGTTGGTTGTTCCATATGGTCCTGTCTGTCCTCTTCATCCTCGAAAACGGTACAACCCCCATTTCTTTCCCACACCCGCCGCCTGCTATTCTCTCCTCTCTCGTCTCCCATCTCGATGCGATGACGGCATTTCGAGGCTGTGATCGTCAAAAACCATCTTGATAGACCAACAAATAGTTTCTCGGGTGACATAGACCGCCCCCCCTCCCCCCTCTCCCTCGCACAAGATATGGCGAACAACTGATGTAGGCACGACACCCGCAAACCGCCTGCATCGAGATGCTCCCCTGCCGTCAGAAATCAAAATCAATCGACTGGCCCCCTTTCCCGCCAGCCTTGTGTGTGTGTGCAACTTGCGACAGGCGACCCATGAGCTTGTCGGCAGACAAGGCTGGGTCATGCCGGAATGACATGACTACCATGAGCCCAGGGGACTTCGAATCGTCATGTAGACCCAGTGAGGCCGCTTTTGCATCGCGGTAAATCGCAATTCTGTGTTAGCCATCGAGAATCGCCCACGAAAGCCACTTCTTTGCCTCTGGTGCCCCTTTTCCCCCCCCCCCCCCCTCTTTGCCATTCAAGCGTGCTGGTTGCCAAGGACTTATTCGCCTCGTCGTGTCCTAGCATCGAAATCTCTCAAACCCATTCATGATTTTCCCACCTTTCTGTTGGTCATGGCAAAGGTGCAATGCAATGGTGGTAGGTAGACGTGCGATGCAATGCGATTCTAGACGTGCCGGCCTACGTCATGTGGAAGCTGAGCCCAGGTTCGAGGCCGTGGGGCTCCGCCGAAGACGACCTTTTTTGTCCCAGCCAGCCCTTGCGCAGAGTGGTAATAAAGTAATCCATTTTCACCTGCTAGCCTCGCCCCTGCACCCTCCAGTATTAGATGCCTAGGTAGGTTCAGGCAGATACGGTGCGCACTCCTGCGCTCCCGCGGCTCGCAGCTGGCCCAGCCCAATTGCCCTGGCAGCACAGCGCCATGCACGGGCTGACAATTGATAGGTCGCCCCCCCCCCTTACATTCTTCCCACCCCCTTCTCCCCACCCGCAATCGAATCGCCGGGTGTGCGCGCGGACGACCGACTGCGGCTGGAGTCTTTGACGGACAAGGCCAGAGTACCTTGGCAGCTGAAGGATGGCCTCTCTCTTCAGATTTGCTCGTATAGCGCACTCATGGTTTCGAATTCGCGGACAGTGCCTCGTGCTTCTCAGACCCTGAAAGGGTTGGCGGCTTGGTGATTACGAGGTCAGCATGAGTCGTAAGTGAGATCGAACAGGAAGACCTGGCGTCACTGAGCCAAACCACATTGATATGCCATCACCAATGCTTCAGCGTACTGTCTCGTTCGAAGTGCGAACTGTCGCATCGGAGCAGGCGGTTGGCTCATTCAAAGTATTCGCTGACGCTGGAGATCACGAGCACTTACCTACCATCTGATACATGGCGTTCACCTGGGCCGTCACCCTATTCCTTGTGGTAACATCATGCCTTCTGGTTCTGAGGCGGGGGGACGGGGGCGATGGGGCGAGGGGGAGGCGGCATCGCTTGTCAGTGGCCGTTGTCATCGAGATTGTGAGGATTGTCATGTTTGCTCAGGTGGGAATCTGAGCGGCGAAATGGTTCCGCCATGTGCCATCGGTGTAAAATGCCACGAGGTGTGACATGCGCTTCTACCAGGTTTGCCATTGATCACCCACGCCCCATGTACGTTATACAACCGATCGATGAGCCCATTCTCGCCAGAGAGGGTTGCGTTCGTCGATGACCTACTGGTGACCTACTGGTGACCTACTGGTGACCTGCAATCATGAAGACGTACATGACCCCCTGATCGGTCGTCACCCAGCCACCTGTAACTTGCCAACCTTAGATATGGCTGCCCACGTTCGCCCCTTGATGTCTGTTTGGGAGTTTGACTCAGTGTCCATTGGCAGTGCTTACCTCATGGTTTAGTTCGCCCCGGGCCCAACGATTAGTCAAGAGGCTGCTGTGACAGTGTATAATTGTAGGCTTGGGGAAAAGAGGCGACAGCGTGCCTTTGACGACAGTGGTTCTTTCTCATGTGCAGTCGACTAGCTAGGTATGTCGAGCTTGTCTCACTTGCAGATGCCGCAGTAGACTTTCCGGCCACAGGCGCCTCTCCGTGCGAAACACCACGCACTTGGATGAAGGTTGGGTGGACGGAGGCCAGAGGCCCTCGATCCAGACTCAAAAGTACGATGCGCGACGCTGGTTCTGCAGCATGCTCACATAATTGGTCACTTGCAGCGGGCCTACCGACCACCATCATTGACTGGGGGTGTCGTGTTAGCAAAACAACCACACTGTCTCCGGCGTGCTTTTCTTTGCGTTTCCACACTTCGACAATCACACAAAATGCCCTTGAAGCCGATGCAAATCGAGATTCTGTCCTTGACGGGCAATCGGGAGCCAGTTGCTGGTTTTCCTCTGGTGGTGTCTGATCCATCTTCTCTTGCGCACCGTTCATTGACTGTCCAGGCGGAGCGTGGAGTCCGTTTCTCCAGGCTCCACTGTTGTCCGATCGTGTGTTTCTGACTGGCGACAAGCTTCGGTTTCTCAAGGTAATTATGATGTCAGGCCAGCCTTGGGTTGTTAGATAGCAAGATCGAGATGTTGTTTTGTCCGTTTGTCTTGCCCCGTTGTCTCTCGAGATGTAGAAGTGCTTTCGACAACTTTGTTGAATACCAGGCGGCGCCTGTGCGATGAGACATCGTCTGGTCGGAGAACCCACAAGGTAGGTTCCTGGTGGCTTTTTGGCCGGATCCTTGCCACGACTGTTGTCGTGTGTGGAGATTCTGGCTATGTGCACGCCCACCCCCTTGGAAGGGTGCTCACTATCCCCGTGTCCCTGTGGGTGTGCAGAATGTACGTCCAGTCTTGAGTCCGTTCTTGCGTTGCGAACGACGGAAACCTAGTGATTTAGCCCCATCTCAGGCAGCCGGTCTTGGCTCGACTAACCAGGAGTCCCCTGGCCAGTTTTGCCAGTCTTCTTCATCGTCAGGTGCATATTTGGATGGTCGACTGCCCTTCCGTTGTCCAAACGCTGTCCCACAGATGGTTGACAGAGGCTTTGTACCCCTGTAAAGAGTAGATCCGCCAGACTCGGTACCTTGCTTGTACGCCGGCTCGCCTACGTACCTCAACATCAGTTCCGGCTCACTGCCATCCCTCCCTCAAGAAACACACAAGGCGACACATTGGTGCCCCAAGCACCGCACCAGCTACTCCTCTTTCCCTCCCTCTCTCTTTCTCTGAAGGCGGGGTCTCTACCGCTGTCCGTCAACACTATTACGCATCTCGACCTGTGTTTGGTTTCTCGAACCTGACCAGATGATCCATTGCTCTCTGTTCCAGCATCCGGCCATTCTCCGAAACCCCAAGTCCTCTGATCAGCTCCAGCAATCTTGCCAGGTAAGTCAGTGTGCGTACTTTCTTTTGGTTTGGGGTGTACACAATATCCTCTTCAGCCAGTTTCGGGGGAGGGGGCGGTCGGATGGCTGGCTTGCAACTTGCCGCTGCTTTTCAGATGGACCTCTGGACTGCACATGCATATCCCACCATGATCTTAGAGCCTTTCCTCTTTGGTCGATCTAGCGTGTCTCCACAACCGAGCATTCGGTCTACTCGACCATGTCATCGAGATCTTGCACCTCCGTTGCGACCAACCGTTGGGTATATCCACAACACGTCTGCCGCATACCATTTTGGGTGTTGTGACAAGACTGACCACCGACACACCTGCTGATGATTGCCATTCCCACAACCAGACCACACGATCCACGACCACTTTCATTTGACACATGCGACGTCGCTGCCATTTTCGAACCACCTGGAATCCGAAATAAGATCGAGCATTCTGTCGACATTTAGCTGGGCTCTTGAACGACCGATTTCGACAGCTCGCACAATCGCAGTGTTTTGACTTCCGACAGACGTCGCATATTCCAACCACACGAAAGAGAACGCCTCGATCGACTGACGACGACATAGCATCCTGCTGTACATTGATCAACCACGAATCGACCCATCAAGTAGAACATTTGAAGTTCAAAAGACGGATGATTGATTGAAGGAGCACACAATACGCCCAAACGCCGCCAATCGATAGGCAGCGAAGACGCAAGGAATCAACCGACCACAAGCGGGCACCGACGCCATCGGTACAACTCGTCTGCATGGCCCAAGGCTTGGGCACGATCTTCGCGGAGTTGGGGATCTTGCAATACCTGGATACCTTCGTCGAGCAAGGCTTCGATACATGGGCTACCATATTGGATATAACAGAATCAGACCTGTGAGTGTTTGGACAATACTCTGTTGCACAGGACGTATGCTGATCCACATGGCTTGCAGCGATGCTCTGGGAGTGAAGCTAGGCCATCGAAGGGTAAGCAGTGCTCGTCGATCTTGTTGGCGATTTTTCGATGCTGACACAATTGTGCAGAAACTTCAAAGGCGGATTGCGAACTCGAGAGGGCTGGCCCCAGACGCCTCACTTGTGTCTCCTATCCGAGCAAGTGTTGAGGATACTCGTACAGAAAATACCAAACCAGAACCCATCAAGCCAGATTCGAAGGACGTAGCTGTTGTCACGAAGCGAAAGTACCGACGACATCCAAAGGTAGGTGCTTGCCGGCCCGGGCATGGATGGCGAATACTGATCATGAGCATAGCCGGATGAGAATGCACCCGAGAGGCCGCCGTCCGCATATGTGTTGTTCTCCAATAGTACGTTTTGCAACATAACGTGGAAGGCGCTCTCAATGTTGACAAGCAGTAGAAATGCGCGATGATTTGAAGGGTCGCAACCTAACCTTCACCGAGATCGCAAAGCTTGTGGGAGAGAATTGGCAGAGCCTGTCACCTGTCGAAAAGGAGCCCTTCGAGACGCAGGCATTGAACGCCAAGGAAAAGTACAACCAAGATCTGGCAGAGTATAAGAAAACATACGAGTACAAGAAGTATGCCCAGTATCTCCATGAGTTCAAGCAGAAGCAGCTTCACCAAAACCAAGGTACGTGACTGGACGGTGCAAATCACGTACGCTGATCTGGAGGGGTCGCTAACAGTCGCTGGAAGCTGCCAAGAATGGTACTAAACGATTGAAGCTGGATGCCAATGCTACCAGAGTTCATCAAGGCAGCAGTGCTAGCGTCACTCCTGGCGGCAGTGGTACTGGCAGTGGTAGCGACAGCGTCATGGCAAGTGATGGTTCGACAACACGAAAGGACAGGGTAGGATCCGTAACGTCCATGCCGGATTATCCATTTGCGCCCACTCTGTCGCATCAACATACCGTCGAAGAGTCGATGCATTCGCCAGCCAGCACAGCCTTTGAAATAGAGCGATCCCCTGTCGGAATCTCGGGCAGTCCGCATGGCCCTCATCAGCGGGCACGAAGGCCGACATGGTCAGACAGGCATGCGAGTCCGGAGAATGGGGTGTCTCAACATTTACCCTCCTTGTCGGATGTGTTCAACGGTGATCGCATGGCTGGCGTTACTAGGACATCGGACTATCATGGGCTCGGCGGGTACGCGCCGGGCCCGGTACCGCCACCGCATTCTGGTCCAATGATGCCGTTGTTGAAGCACGAAATATCCTCAGCGGGGAGTGCGGGATCACCAGGGCCAGCCTACAGTAGGATGCCCGGCGATGCTTCGCTGCCCATTCATGCGCTGCTGTCGTCAAGCAAGCCATCGCCGCCCGCTGCATACGAACAGAGACCAATGCCTTTTTTCGGACAGCCCGCAAAACATGATGTCTTCTCTGCGACACATGTCCCGGGACCCGATGCCATGGGCGTTATCACTGGTATGTCTGTTGTCTGAAGACGGCTTGAGTCGTAGGCTAACACTGGTCAGACCAACGAGGACCACCTCCTTTGGTCAAATATTCATCATCCGGCTCGTCGGGAGCCACCGACGCATCAACAACGTCGTCGCGCACATCCATTAGCGTCCACGAAGGCGTTATCGGTCCAGCGAAGGCGGATCCAAACTTAGACGGCATGAGTGCATTGCTCAGAGCAGGGGAGATTGTTGGCCGTCGTGAAAGTTGAAGACGAGACTGTTTGTCTCAGAACGACGGACCGACTCTGTAAAGTCTAGCATCCTTGGTTGGGAATTATTTTTTCCGTGGTGCGGCACCACGACGATGCTGCCACGTTCGTGGTTGATGAATTTGTCTTGCGGTTTGCTTGGGTGGGACGATGGCTTGACTCGACTCGACTCGACTCGACGGACTGACTTGGCGTGTACTTGAATACCCTCATGATTTGGCATATGCGTTGGGCTTCTTTCGTGCCACCGGAAAGGTTCGTCAGGATGGCGCGCCCGGAAGAATCTCCGTCGGGCGTTGATGTTATGATTCTTTTTCTTGGGAGAACTTCTGGTTCGAAGCAGGGGAAACAGGTCTAGGGTTGATGGACAGGGGAATGAAAATGCACGAACACGGGGACGTGCTCCATCATTAACGTCAGGAAAAAGATAAAGACTGCCGATGCGCAGAACAATCATGATAATAGCTTCTAGAGCCAGAAGTGTCGGGGTGAAATGTTTGATGTTGATGGGAAGTGGACGGATAAGAACCTGCGGAGTCGCCGTCATGGCTCGGATACTTACGCTGATCCCTTCAAGCAGTGAAGGAGGGGCCCTGCGAGACGGACCCTGAAGTCTCTTCACGGCGATAGGTTTGAGGAGCAGGAGCCACGCACGGGGTCCAAGGCAAGGAAGAGAGGCAGGTTCGGAAGAACGAGGTCCCCTGAGCCCACGCACGCCTCGCGGCAGCCATTCGTGCCTGCTCTCCAGTACACCCTAATGTTGCAGTTGCATTTCGCCCCTCAAGATCGCTTTCTTCCCCAGCCAACCCGAGGCGAGCGTGGCCCGGTATGCGACATCCACTACGTCACAGAGGAGGTCTTCAGGGTCCATGGCGGAAAGACCCTTCTTGGCGCCTGCCATAAACCGGTTCGCGTGAGCCACCTCCCGACCTGCTCTCCCTTGCCTCGCCTATTTACCCTCCCGTCCAATTCGAGCTGGGAAAGTAGGTGACTATTGGTAAGAATCGCGACTGATATCGCGCGTAAAGCCTGAATGGTGTGGCCGTCGGCCGGAGCGAATTCTCCTTGAGCCTATCACGAAGGCTGCTTGCTGACCCTGGTCACAAGGCCTGGTCTGGCCAGGCCGGCACGACAACCTCAGTACCTATCTCGGGCTGGACTAGCCTACTTGAGCCAGCAAGACTCCACGTGAGTCGCTCCTGGTGCATACCATTCCGCTCGTCTGTAAAAGCAGAGAGTGGAACGAGGGCACTGATCAGTGTCCTTCAGACCAAGCCAGCAGGCCGGGAAACGCTCGTCTAAGTCGGATGTGGAAGTGTTAAAGGCTTCTAAAAATGGCTTCTGTTGATGATTTTATGATGTTGTATTGCTTGTTCTGGCTACAGCTTTCACCACCGACACACGTCTTGCACCCTCTGCTACCTACACAGACAGAGTTTCGTGCTGAATACCCAGCTTGATCATCATCTGTCAAAGCGCCTTGCTAGAAGCCTTGCAGACGCAACATAACAGCAATACTCGACAACCTTCGAAGGGTTGGTTGAGGTAATCATCATCACCAGGACCTCTTCCTGATGGCACATTCTAGCAAAATAGGCAAGGTACATAGGTCTGTGCAACAGCGAAAGACGCGTTATTTATGGTCTTAATCGGTGGATCCTAGCTACTAGCACGAGATCTGGCTATTTATGGATAGTAAACAACAAGACGAAAGAAATTTGATGCCCTGACCACACCACTGCTGGTTCCAGCGCGGCATCTGGTTTGTTGTGACCCCGTGAAGTGTGCGTGAGGTGATTCGAAGACAGGCAGAGACTTGTTTGCACATGATGAGTGTTCTTTCCAAGCTGGTATGTGATTGACTGCCCTTATTAACGAAATGGAGGCGGTACGTCTGTTTAAGTTCATCTGAATGACTGTGTCACAAGCAGCCCAATTGGCCACTCAAAGAATTATGCAGAGTTAAATATCCTGTGTCCTGGCCTTCATCATATGAGGCTCTCACGCCGCATCTCCCTAGCACAAAGGAGCCAGACCTCCTACATATCAAAGAACAATTAGCCAAGAAGGTGGTTTAACTCCGCAGAATAACATAAATTGTACCCTGTGAAAAATACTCAAGCTCTTGTAGACACTACCCGTCTACCTGATGCCCCCAAACTGGTATTTCGTGGGCTGCGACAATCGTCAAGTCTTTCACCAAGTGGCGGAGGCTTTGAGCTCGGAGATCTGACGATTCAATTTTTGCGCATAGACACCAAGTTCGCCTCTCTTCCTTCACACAATTGTAGTTTCTCAAGGCTGCTTTATCAGCAGGCAAATAACACGTTTTGGAGTCCAAGGAGCGTCCATGTCTGGCTTCAGATGCCTAGACCGAGGCGGCGAGTCCAGGCTTGATAGGTGCGCAAGTCAAGGAAGGACGTAGGATGTCCGCATGAAGCCTGTGTGGCCTTCATGTACCCTTTGTTTGGGTGCGAAGGCTGCTCCTGGCTTCATCACATGAAAAGCCGACAGATGCGAAGACGAATGAGCCTGGCAGTATACAGTAACTCCCATGATGAACAGGATTAATCAACATCAAATTTTCAAAGGCTGAATTGGCTGTGCTCACTCCTATTTCTGGGCATACACTAGATGCTGAAGATCGAAGCCAGTCCTGCTCGGATTGAGACACCGGACCAGACTTCTTAGTTTACAAACCATACTTGCTGCACTGCTGGCCATAAGAATCCCACACATTCGCCAGAACTAAACAATCACTCATGACTTCTGCCTTGACACGTGAAACGCGAGACGCGTGGACGCATATTCATTACCATCACCCATTCTCATCATACGAGATGCCCCGATCCTGTGTGCCACCCAGTGTACATATGATAACGGCATTTCGGGACCAACAAACCCGCCCAAACCCAATCCCCGTAATTTGATGCTCTGCACACCCTTGCCGGAAAAAAATCATTTCTACGCGTTGAAAGTGGTTACTCGCCGCCCGCCGCAATCTCTGCTGTCCAGTCCTTCCGGATTTCCAACTCATTCAGCTCTGCCGTTTTCTCGATGACGAGTCCCTTTTCATTGGCGAGATGGAGAAGACAAATGAAGCAATAGCTTGTAGAAATGTCCTCCATCATTGGCTTGGGATACACCGTCTGCAGGTCATTCATGACCTCGGTGAACTTGAGCATCTTGTCTTTTCCATGCTCATCACTGGGTGCCTCAGAGGACGGTGGCGGCGTCATCAACTGTGATGAGTCAACCTCCTGCTCGAACATGTCAGTATCAGTGGAATCCTCGAACGGAAATAGCTCTTGGTAACTTACCGCCTCCAACTTGTCCAGGCGCATGCCCTTCCAAATCTCCTCCTTCAACCGCCTCACATCAACCTTCTTCGCCGTACGGGCATACTGAACGTAGTCTGGTCGAATGCGGCGTGTGGATGTTACAAGCGTCGTGCCAAACGCTCCCAGCGTGTTCGCCATCGTCTCGCCATTGAGGATCGCTGTCAGACCGACACCCTCCGTCATGCCAGCGTCGCCTTCGGCTCCGGGCGAGAAGTGTTCGCGGGCATCCGCGAATTCCATGTCATCGTCATCGTCCATACCGCCGGCGAAGGGAAGAGCGTCGTCCTGGAAGAAGTTCGCGTCGTAATCTCCCTGGGGTAACTCCGTCTCACCCCCCAGCGCGTTCAGAGGCTCCTTCTGTTGCGCCCAGAAAGCTTCGTCCATCTCCCCGGCCGGAACGTCTCGATCCTGATAAGCGTTGGCAAAACCACCGCCGATACGGCGATTGCTGAGTCGGGCTTTCGGCTTAAGGAATAGGTTAAGCAAGGACTTGGAGTTGAAGTGCTTGTCATCTGGAAGCAGGTTGCGAGACTTGGTTTTCCAGTCCTTTCTGGGCATGGAGATAACTGAGTTGCTGGTCGCTTGTGTGTAGAGGGCATCAGCGATGCTCTGGTCCAAGGGCGCCGAGAAGTCAACCTCAAACGGCGCTTTCTCTTTGCGCGTCCTGGCGGGCCCGATAGGCTTGTCGGCGTCTTTGATCTTTCGTATCCTCCAGTGCTCAGCACTCGACCAATTCTTCTGTAATGCCTGGTCGAAATACCCAAGAATGTCCTCGTGCATCTTTTCTGCCTTCTGTGCATGATTCATCGAGACAACATAGTCGCCTCCCGCCTGGTCGATCATGCCACCCTCTTCATCACCCTCACCAGCATCGAAAACTCGCATTTGAGGCTCGAGTGCGGCCTCCCTGGCCCACGCCTCACCACCCTCGCCAAATGCGACATCCGCGCCCATGTCAAAGGCACCTAGCCCGAGATCGTCATCGTCGAACCCGGCCGCATTGTCCCCATCAATGAACATGCCAGAAGTGTCTCCGAGATCCAGGCCTGGGGTTTCTTCCTTATTCTGATCCCGCCAGTCCTCAGGAGCCTTCAAGAATGGAATGTCAAGCGAACCGGATGGATTGCCAAGATCAAAGGATTTGAGTGACGGGCAGACATCGAGTTCGTCAAGGCGACCAAGCTCAGGGAAAAATCTGGCACCAAGCACACCGAGATCGATCTGAACATCCGCGTTGTCCTCCTCAGGCTCCACGTCGTCCTCGCCATCGACCAAGGAAGCCTGATGTGTGTCATCCGCATCGTCGTCTTCTGCTTCTTCGTCCTGCTTGCGACTCTTGGATGTCTGTGCGTCACCAACATCGTCGCTGCTGTCGAATACAATGCGACCTTGCGAATCGATCATGAGGTGGTTGAGTAGCAGACCCTTGGCGCCACCTTCGTCAAAATCGGCAGACGCTTTCTTGAATAAGGGGTCGACGGCGAACTCAAGCTCAAACTTCTTCAATTGCAAAGAGGCGAAGGATGGGGCCAATGTAGCCTCAGAGGACCGTTGTGTCTTCCTCTTGGCTTTCTTCTTGACATTGCCGTCTTCGTCAAGCTCCTCTTCGCTCTCATCGCCCTCGCCATCTTCGCCTTCCCTGTCCTTCTTCTTGTTATTGCTGTCGGCGAGGCCGCTGAGCAGCTTGCCGGTCTCGGTCGCAACACTGTCGACTCGGCTGGTGTAGATCTTGACACAGCCGTCGAGGGTGCAGCTGGCTTTTTGAAAGTTGACGCCGTCGCCTTCTTTCAACAGCGACATGTCGTGAAAATAGTCGATGAGGGCAAAGTTCCACGAGTTGGCGGCATTGATCTTGTTGTCGGTAGCCATCTTCATCCATTCCTCAAAGTTGGCTAGGATGGGCACCCGCTTCATAGGCGTCACTGCGCTCCCGCCCACCACGAAGCCCTCATCCTCGTCGTCGTCGGGGACACGTCCGCGGCTGGCGCGACCGCGGGGCGTTCGTGGGTCCGAGCCTGGGGACGCATTCTCAATATTGTCGAGGCTGACGCTGCCTTTGCGTCCAGGCGTGCCGGCAGCAGCGGCCTTGAGCTGATTGATCTGTCTCTCATGCAGTGCTTGCCTCGAGTGCAAGCG